TAACTAACATATACTGACAATCACCATAATAACACAGGTGATAATAAAGCAAGTCACATGAGGAATCAAAGTTCATTATAAGTAGCCTTTCCACTGGCTGAGGTAACAATGACAACAGAAATTAACTTATTCACATGGAATGCCATCAAAAGTAGGGCTGAACGATTAATTGCACTTGCGAGAATATCGCGATATGAAAAAAGGCTGCGATTACACTCGGTCACATGACACGCGAGAGTAAAGAGGTGTGTTCGACTTGAAGATCGATCGGTGTATGACATCAAAGTAAGGCGAGAGAAAGCATAAGGAGACGTCCGCTCTCTTATAGCTCTCGCAGTACTTTGATGACACACACATCGGTCTAATCAGCGCTGCTTCAAGTCGAACACATTTAAGCAGTCTTCAGAGGAAGCATCAAGTTGGCACGCTACAGTGTTGCCAAGTCCGCGGTTTGGGGATCCCCTTCAAAAAAATGTGTATTTTACCCCTGGAAATCCGGTTGACCCCCCTCGAAACGCGATTGGGCTAGTTTTGAGTAGCAATTGGGCAGGTTTTGTTGTGAAAACCTGGCAACCCTGACACGCTACACGCGGAAATGTTTGAACGTGTATATAATGAACGTACTTCAAAACGGCACATTGAAATTACTCAAGCAGTAACAGTGTTACGGTGCATTTCATTACTGAAGACTTCGACCATAATATATATAATAATTAGGGAAGCACCGAAATGAAAATTCTTGGCCGAAGCCGAAGCCGAAACCGAACAGAATTAAACACTGGGCCGAATGCCAATACCGAACACAGTTTTTCGAGTTTTTTTCCCCCATGTATTTTGCCATTTTTTTTTCACCATTGCATAAATTAAAAAGCCAAAATGTGCCCCCCTTTCTTGAATCAGGCATGTTTTTTTGTTGTTGTTGTTGTTTACTGTACAATTAAAAGCTGCCTTGCTGAGAAGAAACTTATTTTAAAACATTGGAAAATATTACAGATGAACACTATGTGTGAATGTTATAATAAATGTATTAAAACAGAGCTGTTGTAATGATTATTATCATTATTATTGTCTTACTTTTTAATTTATTTTACAGAACAACAGTAAAATTACAATACTAACATTTATGAATGTTAAAGAGTTCTTGCTTTTTCTCAACTTTTATTTTGGCGGAAACGCGCAGGAAGACCTCAATACTTATTTTTGTTGACAACAGATTTATAAATGAGTCTCATTACGAATACGTCGTACGCATCGCATTGTCACATGACTAGTAAAAATTCATAAAAATGTGACCGAGCAACTGATGACTGTATCAGCGCACTCGCGCTTTGGACTTTGAACCCTGGTTAACAAGCAGATCTGCTGCGAGTTCGTGCAGTGCTGTCAGAATACATGCAGAATACATGCGCGCGTGTATTAGAAAACAACATTCTGCAGTTTATTTACTAATTGTTTAAGGCTATTTCGCGATTTCCATCATCATACAGTAACCCCTTCCTCTTCTCATTGAAGACATGCGATGCAGTCATAAACAGTCTCTCGCTGTCGGTGCTTGTAATGATTTTTGCGTCTTTCTCCGACAGTTTAAAGGGGTCATATGATGCGATTTCAATTTTTCCTTTCTCGGTTTACGCTGAGATAATTCATACCCCTTCGTTTGAAGTGTGGTCCCGAAAAATCTTTGTTTGAAGGGCTGTCTGGCCCTTCCCCTACCCCTCCAACCAAAAGAGAATTGAGACACCCCTACCCCTTCACATGATGCGCGAAATGGAAGGGTAGGGGAAAGGGGAAGGGCTAAGGGGTAGAATTGGGATTGGGCCTACATGCTTCCACACTGCTGACGTGTGTGCTGCATAATAAAGAGTGCGCGCCTCTCACTCAGCACTGGTTGCTATTTGATCGCGTCATATCATTGAGAAAAGAACATTTATGTTTAATCTATATAATATTGTGTTGGTCATACTATACAATGATTTATAGCTTGTCTTTGTTGAATAATACAGAACATAAAGAGCTTTAAAAAATAATTACATATTAAATCGCAATCGCAATATTGGTAAAAAAAAATCGCAGTTAGATTATTTTCCAAAATCGTTCAGCCCTAATCAAAAGTATATAGGGAATATATACTTGTCACAGGGAATTCTGGGAATGTCAATTTACGACTTTTCACTGCAAATTACAAGATGCCTTGTTCCTTTTTGCATTTAACAGTATTTTACTGTAAAATTATACATAATGTTCTGTTAGATAAAACTAACTAACTGGTTTTACCATGGCATTTTTATAATCTTTAACTTGGGGTGCTCCGATTGATCAGTTATCAATCACTATCGGCCGATAATCGCTTTGGGATGTTTGATCGGCGGTCTCTATAAAGGCCGATCACCAAAAAACGATCTAAAGCTGATGACGCACCTGCTGTGAGAGGTTTGGCACTGTCTCAGTTCAGCGTGGGTGAAATAATTATAATGCTGAAGGTGAGCTACAATTCATATGTCTTCATTAAATAACTTATAAAGTAATTGGAAAACTTTCTGTGAGACATAATTTCACAAACAGTCTGAGTGAATAAATATTGAAGAAAAATGCAATATGCGATAACTCATTACATAATGCGATATGCGATATGATAATGCTTAAAGTGCTACATGCTCAGATGAAACAGTTTTACTCAGCTGTTGCTGAGTCAGTTCTGTGAATTTCTATAACTATTTTGTGTCATATATATATATGGTTATTTGTATGTATGTATCAAGAGCTCCTGTAAAACCACAACAAATTCCTTGTGTTTGCGCACACTTAAGTGGTGAATAAAGCTCGTTCTGATTCTGATTCTAATATAACTAGCATACATGTTTCACTTTTTGTGAGAAGAAAGCTCCCCTACAACAACTTCTGAAAGTGAACAGTAGTGTTTTACTCTAGCATTACATAAAAATTTCATTTTAACATTAGTGTAATCATGAGTTTAGGAACTGAATAATAAAAAGGAAAAATACAACACTGCTTAGTATTTACTCAATATGCACTGATTCTTATTTAAGCTACAAAAGTTATTTAGGTAAGAGCAGTGAGTGATTTTCTCTTTGTCTTTTGTTCATGGCCCCAAATATTGCAAGCCGTAGCGATATGCATATTGCGATATGTACATTTGCGATATTTCGATAATTTCGATATATTGCACAGCCCTAGCGCGCGTTCTCTCTTTCTCTCTCAAAATGCGCAAATGGCTTCAAATCACATCGCGTCTGCACTATAAGCGAGCTGCACGCTGCACAGTCGACACAGGAATTGTCACTTGCAAAAACGAGGCAGTGTTGTATCGTCACTAAAGTTTATAAATTCTTTTTAATTCTTGCCAGTGTTTAAACCATTCCGCGCTCACACATAATGCCAGTTTCACATTATTATACTCCGTTTGCAGTGCGTATGCAGTGCGTATTTTTCTGCGCCCATGTTAACGGATTAAAGCGTTCACACTGCACACGGTCCAACAGTGCGTCCCAGGAGCGGAGCATCTGCAGCAGTCAGTGCAGAGATCATTTCCGCACTGAGTCTGTTTCTGCTGCGCTGCAAGCGCTGAATTAAAGTAACAGCGCATAGTTTGCAGGATTGCTTGTAATAAAGATTTCAATGCAAAAGAAAAGGCGGTAGAGCTGACTTTTTCTGTCAATGGTAAGTTTTAATTTAGAATGTTTGTGATAATGTAAGAAGAGTAGTTTAAATGTTTTGTCACTTGCTTGAGCAACTTAATATATAAATCTATAAGTAAAAGCAAAAGTAAAAAGCATTGAATAATTTGTTTCTTATATTTGTTGCGTTTAAACACGTCTATGAAAGACAGTACTGTACTGAAAAAAGAATCACAATGCTGAAAAAGCATTTAAGTAACAATGTTTGGATTTGAAATCAGAATAACGGATAAATGTTGTGTTTGTAGTAAACAGCTATGGATGAGTAGTGGACTCCTGTGTGAAAGCACAATGAGTCTGTGCTGCTTCTGAACCGCACATGTACTGCATACGCACTGCAAACGGAGTATGTGTGAACCTCACATACAGCTCATGAAATCAGGCTTGTACTGTGTGTAAGCTAGTGTGCAACAACTGCACGATTGTCAAAACAAAAATACAGTGCATGATCAAACATTTAGGTCGGATAAATGTATATTTTTGAAAAATGTCTAAAAAATGCCCACCTCCACCCCTCAAATAAAAAAAATCCCCTCTCACAAGAGTCACCTAAGAGAGGAATTCATTTTCAAAAATGAAATTCAGGCCCTGAATAAATGTCTAAAAATCTTGATTGGATCATCACTATAATTAACTCTACATGATAAAAAGAAGGCTTTAAAAAGATTGGTAATCGCATCGGCAGATACTGCTTTCTTTCTGATCCTGATCGGAGCACCCCAATCTTTTACCATTAAAGTTACAATAATATTTTACAATGTGTTAAGCTGCCTAGCAAGATAAAAGAATCACAAATGAGTGCTCAACACTCCAAGAAAGCCTACAAACTGATCCTAAAGGTAGGCAGCAAAATGATACTGTCTTCTAAAACTTTCAACACTCAACAGGAGCGACGTGACTGATGCCCCGTTCTATTTCTAACATACTCCACGCACTTGTGCTACTTCCAACAACAGTACAAATTCAAAACTATCACTTCAATGCCTCCACTGTAGACAGCCTCATGTTGTTGTGGAACAACAAAGGTTGAACCTGGTGTAAAAACGGTATAAGATAAAAGCAGGGTGACACGTATTCTTCACAGATTAGGCAGTCACATTTAGTACAAAGCCAAGCCATCATTAATTAATCCAATTCTGATGTTTCGGTATCATGATCTCAAATATTATTAAAAACACTGGAGTAATATTCTCATAATACACCAGAAATAATAAAAACAAGAAAAAAATGGATATACGGAATCAGAAATGAAAGAACTTAATCACATGACTGGGCTTCATATACGCATTAATGTCGTGGACTGACCTTGGGCAGTTTGAAGGTGGGTTCGCGGTACTCCTCCTCCTCCTCACTGTCTGAGTCGCCGCTCTGCACAGAGTTGCGAGAAGCCAGGGCCAACGTGGACTCCTTCTGCTGCCAGTCCAGCACGCAGTGCCGTACATTACAGTAGACGTTGAATGCAGAGGGGTTGCTGTGGAGTTTGATGTCAGGCACTGGAAAGGCCCCATCCAGAGTCTCTGTCTGCCAGACGACAAAAAGAATTACTGTAATATTAGAAGAAAATATTTTTAGGCATTTAGGGGTGGGCTGCATTACCAAAGAAATATTATTTTACATGTAATTTTACAGTAATGGAAGAAATGTATATTATGTTTATGTAGGCCTATATATTTATTAAATACACATAAAACATTACTCTTATATAGCAATATTTTAATATTTAATTACAATAATTTAAATTAAACGTTTTAAATATTGTAAAAATAAACATAAAATAAAAAATAAAATAGATTTTCATTTATTTAAAAAAATCAAAATATTTCTTATATTTTAAAAATATAGCTAAATCATTACAGAGATAATAAAAATAGAATTATTATAAACCAAATAGCATGGACTTAATTCTTATTAGTAAAGGGCATTTCACACTGAGCGCGATGCGAAAAAGCGAGGCGAATTGCCGACGAACGTTGTTTCACACCAAACGCAAAACGGTCGATCGCCTTCTGCTAATTCACGCCTGCACGCTAGGTGGCGCCGACCAGCAATGCAGTTTTCCTCAGATATGGATCTCGTATATGCATTTAACATCGTACGCTGCTCAATATACAACAATAAATTAAGATAAAATTTGGTTCTACACCAGAACCACAAACTATCTATAATGCTTAAAAGAATACATCCTAAAATATAAATAGTACAATTAGCATCAAGCTACACTTGAAAATGTATGTAATTATTAATGTATTTGCTTAAAACCCACTTTAAACCATCATCGAGTGCTTGTAATAACTTCCTATTGTGATCTACAGTTGACTTTGATGATTCTATAATAGGCACACATGCACTCTTTGTATGTTTAATAACGCTACACTGCTTATAATTTGTCATAAACATCCTTTATTGTTATAAAAATACCATGAGCTGCATACAAAACAATATAGAAAATATTTTGTCATAATCATATGTCTTTGCTCATCATATATCATATAATCATATATATTTGCTTTCATATTTTGTGTGTATAAAAATGTTTCACTCGATTTTTTTAATACGGAAGATCTAGAGATTGAATGCGCTCTGACTCATATAACACTCGCTCACGTGGAATAAAACGGACAGTGCTCTCCAGATCACATAATTCAGTGTAGAATTAATAGAAATTATATCAAGAACATGTGAAGATAAATCTGTTCTCAGATAGGCTACCAAAGACAACAAGAACTCGGCATCCACTCTCTACTCTCTCGGAATACTCTTCTTCGGTGTTTGTTTGTTTACATTGGTTTTCAAAACAGCGCCACCACTCTCACCTTTTTGTGCAACAGCAGCTGCTCCGGGCATGTGATCTAAGCTCAAATCTGATTGGACGGCCCGTTTCATCAAGGAGCGACGGGGAAAAAAATCAACACACAGGACAAAAAAAAAATCCTCGCTTTTTCACACCACCAATGATTGTGCCTAGTGTGAATAGCCCCATTAGGGATCTATTGTTTCAATTCAAAAGCGTCATCGCGCCGAACATTCGCGCCAATTGTCGTGTTCAGTGTGAAAAGGCGTAACAATATTAGGTTGTAAAATACCTAATATACACACACGTCTGTAACCACACATCAGTTCAATTTCATTTTAGTGCATCAGTTTGTCATAGACAATGTAATTTTGGCTTCAAATTCTGAATAACACCCATGTTGATATGCTTCTTCATACGCCACCTGCAAGTAACGCAAAGCAGTCCTACCCACTGATAACCATATGGATACATCCACAATCACATAAACAGTGTCAAAATGTCAACCGTTGCACAGTATATTCCGTCATATCATCCAGCCCTACAATGTATCTAAAGTTTCATTGTCCCATTCATCAGTTCTTCCCCTGATAGGCTTAACTCATCCATTTGTCTTCTTATTTGTCTATCAGCCAATAATAAAGGATGATGTAATGCAGGGAAGGTCATTCATTTTTAGGCGGACACCACAGAGAAATCTACCCCCCTGTGTTTGGCACAGCGACGTCAGACATCTGAAGTCATTAGGAAGCCACATATCTGAGCCATGCCTAGCAGCTCAGTACACTTCCTGTGATTTGCTATCACTGCTGCAAAGCAAGAACAGCTTGGTTAAAGTGTTACCCAACAAACAGACTCCAAAACAGCTTTTGATTTGGGGAGGATGTCTTGTTTGCTTCTGAAATCTTGTCCTCGTCAGTCAGCAGAGTGGCTGCTGATGGAAGAGACTGATAGACTACACGATTGCCTCGGACTTTACTCTCCAATTCAATGTCCTGGATTTGCAATGCCCCACTTTGGCAGTAAAATCAATGTGAAGCTCACTGAAGTAAATCACGTACAGCTTAAATGAGGAAAAATACTTACATACACAAAGTTCTGCCTGCTATTTTTTTTATTGTATTAGTCATTTAGCCTAGAGCCCTAGAAAAACCTCTGCCTCTAATATTCAAACGATATAAATGACGGCAGTTTCCAATAGTACATTACAGTGCGGAGCAAATCTACAACAGCATGCAAAGGAAATTCTATTAAAAATATATATATTTTACCCAAATCCTCAGTTGATCGCGCCAATTGTCGTGTTCAGTGTGAAAAGGCGTAACAATATTAGGTTGTAAAATACCTAATATACACACACGTCTGTAACCACACATCAGTTCAATTTCATTTTAGTGCATCAGTTTGTCATAGACAATGTAATTTTGGCTTCAAATTCTGAATAACACCCATGTTGATATGCTTCTTCATACGCCACCTGCAAGTAACGCAAAGCAGTCCTACCCACTGATAACCATATGGATACATCCACAATCACATAAACAGTGTCAAAATGTCAACCGTTGCACAGTATATTCCGTCATATCATCCAGCCCTACAATGTATCTAAAGTTTCATTGTCCCATTCATCAGTTCTTCCCCTGATAGGCTTAACTCATCCATTTGTCTTCTTATTTGTCTATCAGCCAATAATAAAGGATGATGTAATGCAGGGAAGGTCATTCATTTTTAGGCGGACACCACAGAGAAATCTACCCCCCTGTGTTTGGCACAGCGACGTCAGACATCTGAAGTCATTAGGAAGCCACATATCTGAGCCATGCCTAGCAGCTCAGTACACTTCCTGTGATTTGCTATCACTGCTGCAAAGCAAGAACAGCTTGGTTAAAGTGTTACCCAACAAACAGACTCCAAAACAGCTTTTGATTTGGGGAGGATGTCTTGTTTGCTTCTGAAATCTTGTCCTCGTCAGTCAGCAGAGTGGCTGCTGATGGAAGAGACTGATAGACTACACGATTGCCTCGGACTTTACTCTCCAATTCAATGTCCTGGATTTGCAATGCCCCACTTTGGCAGTAAAATCAATGTGAAGCTCACTGAAGTAAATCACGTACAGCTTAAATGAGGAAAAATACTTACATACACAAAGTTCTGCCTGCTATTTTTTTTATTGTATTAGTCATTTAGCCTAGAGCCCTAGAAAAACCTCTGCCTCTAATATTCAAACGATATAAATGACGGCAGTTTCCAATAGTACATTACAGTGCGGAGCAAATCTACAACAGCATGCAAAGGAAATTCTATTAAAAATATATATATTTTACCCAAATCCTCAGTTGAATTCAGAATGAAGACAAGATAACATGGTCTTTCTATTGAGTTTTCCTTTGGAGCAAAGAGCAAATTAGTTTTTCATTTAGCCTAAAATCGAAAAAAATAAATAAATAAACACCGAGTTGGACAAACATTTTTGGACAAACAACTTTTTAATAACAAAATTGTTTCGGCAGTGGCTGTGATAAGAACTTATTTTCATTACAGACTATTTCAGACATACACTTGTAGCGTCTGGACCAATCAGACACACAATATATATTTTTTTAGTTATATTTAGCAAATACTCCATAAACAAGTTTATGGACACTGAATGGATTTCTGAGGTAAAATTTAACATTATGTGACACTGTTTACAAGCAGTTTTATTGACGTCTTTACATGGTTGAAATACTGAATGAGTGATTACATGTCACATTATACATTTCAGTCATTTGAAATGTTTTTTCAACATATATTTTGATGTTCTTTCATGTTTATTTTGTGCTATAACTAGTACTAAAGAGGAAGAGATGATCGTTCATGTGCCACTTAAACTGAGGCGGCCACAGTGATCTGTCACGATACTTTAAAGAGCAGCAAAATAATATTTGTGACTCGTGCTGGCAAAATGAGTCAGAATGCACGTGGGCTAACTTTGAGTGACAGGCAAAAAAAAAAGTGAAAAATGTTGATTTTAGTCGAATGTGAGGTTTTCACAAATATGAGTTCATTAAGCCCTCGTCTAGCGATCCCAATGCTCCAAATATTAATTAAACATCTATAATTATCTTTATTTGTGCATTTTCTGAGGGAGTACCTTTTCTCCACCCGCTTCTCGCGCTGACTCATCCAAAGCGCCCGCATAAAATGCGCTTAAATATACGGCGATAAATATACACACGCAGAATTACAGTATTTAAGTGTTCACATAACATAATCTGTTATTTCTTAAGTAAACGTTTGGGGAACTGTTGGAGAAAAACATCTGATGTGTAACTAGGGCTGCACGATTAATCGAATGCGATTGTCATGCGCATTTTGTTAAAAAAGCCGGTTCTGTAATCAACAGGAAATCATCGTCACGTGCTTTCAGATGGAGCAGAATTTACTACACATAGCCGTAGTTCACTGACAAGTTAGGAAAAAGAATAAAAAATATCGCAGACGATTTTATTGCGCGATTCTGAAATCGAAGAAATCGTTCGCGATAATGACAGCTGTTTGCATAGCTTCTCAGTGAACTACAGCTCTGTGAAGTAAATGCTGCTCCATCTGAAAGCATGTGAAAATACCACATTTAATAACATATTTTTACCCCAAACTCACTTCATAATGTCAGTCGAGTGATTGAAATAAATCCTTCTGTGAGATGATGTGGCTTCTTACACAGAATAAGGCACGCAACATATTTCAT